TCCCCCTGTATTTGTCCACTTTCATTTTTACACACCATCCAATGTACTTCTTTAATCCATTTTATCTTGTAATTTGTATATTAAAAAATTATAAAAATTATATATTAATAATCTATATGTTAAGACAAATCAAACAAGATCACACATGACTATATTTAGGCTTACACATTGAGAGAATTTGATGAGTCAAAGTGCTTAAATAAACAGTTCCAATAGTCAAATGTGGACAAATACAGAGGGACGGAGGGAGTATTAAATTAACAATTGGAATAATAATATTTCTATTACTACTCATCCATTTCTAGATTTGTACTTAATCCGTTGCACTTGAATATCATAACCATTTGGCATACAATATTTTCTCAATAAATAGCTAATTAAATCTTTCGGGATTAATTAACTAAATAAGGCAAGAACAATAGACTAACCATTCCAACATTAATTTAACATTCAAAATATACAACCAAACTAGTCCGGACCCAGAGATCCGGACCCTAACTCATACTATGCAAACATAAATTAAAACGACATTTTATTAAATAAAGGGAACTTACATCTTCCGTAAAAGCGGAGTAGAACAGAACTGGAGCAGAATTTCTCCGAAAATTATTCTAAAATTGCTAATATGCTAAACTAAAACACAGAATTGAAATGTGGAGCTCTAATCCCGAGATTGGGACTGAAAGTGATGATGGAATGGTGTGAAACGCGCTGTATTTATAGGATAGAGGCCGAGGCGTCCAAGTAGAAGTGTCCAAGTCCAGGCGTCTAGATCGGGACGCTTGAGCTGTTCTAGCCAACCATGTTTTGCCACGTGTCATTCTTGGAGCACAATTTAAGCCAGGCGTCCACTCAAAGCGTCCAACTTGGTCAGGCGTCCAAGTTGGACGCCTTAAGGCCTTGATCCGTGGGGCTTCGCGGCTGGTGCGAGATCTTGGCCCAATTTCCCTCCTTTTCGGCCCGCACATCGATTTTAACCTCTCGAAAGCTCGTTCAAGCCTGGACCTTAATGCTTTACATATTTATTCCCTATTCCCCAAGCATTTGAACATAAAATGGATGATTTTATGATGATTTCATGTGGAATACCTTTGGAAAAATTCACATGAATACTCTCAGAAATTTCAGTTTTTACATAAATACTCCCAAATTTGTTTATTTACATAGTTACTCCCACATTTGTCTGTTATTTACGTCATTACTCTGCGATTGCTTCATCGTCTGTGTTCTTTGGATGCGTCTTTTTAAACAGGGTTTTTCATCGTTTTTTTATTGAATTCAAATTAAATTAATATGAACACACTTGATATTAAACATTAAAAACATTTAGGAAGTTTGAAATCTAAATTTTTTTTAAAAAGTGATGGAAATAAGGGCAATGATTAGGCTTACTAAGACGTGAGAAAGTCGATGGAGAGAATAAATTGAGGTGAATTTGTTATATTATAGTGAAAAAAATACATATCTGCATTTTAGCTGCTCACTTAGCACAAAAAAAACGCATTCAAGTAACACTAATGTTCACTACCAAATTTGGGAGCAATAATGTAAATAAAAGAATAATGTGGGAGTAATGATGTAAAGAAACAAATTTGGGAGTATTTATGTAAAATCTGTAATTTCTGGGAGTATTCTTGTCAATTTTCCCAATACCTTTTTATGACTCTTAGAACGAAAATGAGAGTTTTATTTATTTTAAACACAATTTATGAGATGATTAAATACTATTTGCGTGCAGTTACGTTTGGAATATGATGTAAATGATAAGAACGAAACGGACTTATCAGTGTTACAATTTGGTATCGGAGCAAATGGTTTTAAACCTGATCTTCAGATCAAAGTCTGATATATATATATATATATATATATATATATATGTATGTATGTATGTATGTATGTATGTATGTATGTATATATATATATATATTATATATATATATATATATATATATTATATATATATATATATATATATATATATATATATATATATATATATATATATAGACACACACACACACACACATACATATTGTAACACCCTAATCCGTCCAGGTCTGCAGCCCCTTTCGGACTAAAGTATTTAACTTGGTAATCGTAAAATTTAAAACTTTTCAAACACACTTTATTAATCTCAATAATATTTTTCATAACATATACAGTACGGAGTATTTAACAATATTGCGGAAGCGAACTTAATATTGACATATCATAAATCATTTCAAACTTGTCACATCCATCCCGACAATCTCGCCCCATATGCCGTCAGGATCACATTAATCTTTCTGTTTACCTGCCTGTAGCAAATAAAACAAACACACTACACGCTCAGCGGTAAAGCTGAGTAAGCATATCTAATGCGTTGAACATCCATATAAACTGAATCTAAATTCATAATCAAATCTTTTGATATCATGCACACAATGTTCGTTTCAGACATTCAGAGTTTTGATATTATTCAGTTCATATCAACACATTTTATTCAATTCAGATACTATTTCAATAGTGCTCTTAAATTATTCTTAATCTAAGGCCA